AGACAATCGGACACTTACATCACATTTTATAAGAGTTGTAATTATTCAAAATTTTGACCATTTGTGGGGGAGGTACTTGATGGAGTGGACCGATATTGTCCATTTTCACACTTGACCTAACACTGATGCAGATATTAAGATTTGGATCAAAATCGGATTATCGTTTCTCTTTCTGTGCAAAAAATATTTTTTTTGAAAATTTCGACCTTTTTTGGGAGAGGTACCAGAAGGAGTGGACCGATATTGCCCATCTCCGAACTCGATCTAAGTTTGACAAAAATATTACGATGTACCAAGTTTAGACCAATTCGGATACTCCCTTCGAGAGTTATCGTGCGCACCGGCCAGACAGACAGACAGACGGACGGACATCGCTAGATCGACTCCAAATGTTCTGAAACAGATTTGGTCCAAAGAGACCTAGGGCTGAGGGTATAAAAATAAGTTTGCCTAATTTTTCTTCTCCCATGAGTGCTTCCACTCGAATTCAAGTGAGTCTCACTCTTTGTGCAAATGGGAGCGAGTTAAACGCTTCCAAAACAAGACATGTGTTTTAACATTTATTTTTAAAACCTCTGTAAATTCCAATTTTTCCATGGGTCTGGCCCTATAACAAGATTTTAAAATTATTCCAAATATCTAGATAATAAGTTACTTTATTGATTAACTTACACTTATCCTTTATTCTCATTGGAATAAGTTTCCTATTTTGACCTTTTACACAGGTATGATGGCATTATTGGGCGCCACATGTTCAATCCTTTTTATTATAGCCCCAGTCATTTTACCATTTTTTGTTTTCAATTTAACAAAAAAATTGTTATTAACTAGCACCCGTTTATTTTACAGTCAATTTGTTTGTCAATGGCTCTTAACAACATATGTATGCATGTTCACAATATTTAAACGGGGCCAAGTTTTCTTTATGTTTTATTTATGCAATGCCCTTCTCTATCCCCCCCAACCAACTAAAAAAGACATCATATTGTATTGGGAGCTTTTTCCCATTCCTAGATGGGTTGGGATGAATATTTTTTTTTCGCAAAGCATCTTAAAAGTCATAAAAATGTCAATACAGGATGTTGATAGGCCATCTTTCTTGTGACAAACAGCAACAAAAGTAATAACTGTAGTAAATTTGATAGCAAAGTTAGTTCAAAGTTTCCTCTCTGTTCTGGCCGTTTTTCATTGCCGAAATAAACAATGTGAATGGAAAAAGTTTAAAGGATTTCATTTTTAACAATCCATGATTTACATCTATTAGCAAAGAGTTTTATTTTGCAATAAATGTGAAGATATGGCAAATTGGGAAAGCCCCCAGCCCCCTCACTCTGCCAAAGTAAATGGCAAAAGGATGACATCATAAAGAAGAAAGTTTTCCTTTTTAGCATTCATAATTTATTAGTTCGGAATACATTTATGTTTGTACACACGCACACATATGTGAGCGTGTGTAATAGGTTTACATATTTCTATTCGAAAAAAATGACCTTAGATAGAAATCAAATGGCATGTGACACATGCGTGAGAGATAACCTATCATTGAGTGATAAAAATTGAAATGAAACATCAGAGACACTTTCGACTAATAAAAAGAGACACTAAAGATATAAATTATTTTATCACATGGCAGTAGTTTATTTTAACATTTTCCCCCATAAACAAGAAATAAAATATGAAACAAAAGAAAAACAATATTTAGAAGACCGGGCCGATACTCTTCGCCCTTTGTGAAAATAGCTCTCTAATGAAAGCTCTAGTTTAAAACAAGTGAAAAAGCAGTAATTTTCGACGTGCCGAACTTTGAATACGGTTCACCCTTTGCAATAATAATAATAATAATAATAATAATAATAATAATAATAATAATAATAATAATAATAATAATAATAATAATAATAATAACAACAACAACAACAACAATAATAATAATAATAATAATAATAATAATAATAATAATAATAATAATAATAATAATAATAATAATAATAATAATAATAATAATAATAATAACAATAATAATAATAATAATAATAATAATAATAATAATAATAATAATAATAATAATAATAATAATAATAATAATAATAATAATAATAATAATATAATAATAATAATAATAATAATAATAATAATAATAATAATAATAATAATAATAATAATACTAATACTAATAATAATAATACTAATAATAATAATAATAACAACAATAATAATAATAATAATAATAATAATAATAATAATAATAATAATAATAATAATAATAATAATAATAATAATAATAATAATAATAATAATAATAATAAATAACTAAAATCCGTTAAAAATTCTCTTAAAATCCTAAAAAAAATGGGGTCTATACGAAGATGTGGACTTGCATAGGCATCTTACAATATTCAAATCTCTGGACCTGCATAGACAATTTTCCGTCATAGACTGTTGTACCTATTATTAACTCGTAATACGAACTCTAAATATGAAAGTTGAGACATATGTACAGGGTGAGATAAAAAAACTGCAACAAAGTCAAACGCCATAATTTTCACTTTTTTTTTAATTTTATTGAATAACAGCAAAAAATGTCGGAGATAGCATCAAATTTTAGAATAAGTTTAGATTTGTTCGAATTGATCACCTTTGCCACGAATTATGGCTCTCAAACGGCCAATGAGACCGTCGCACGCTGCCCGAATGTTGCCCTATGGTACGTTGGCCCATTCCCGGCAAAGCGCTTGCTTCAGGTGATCGACACTTTGGTATTTTTTAGTGCCAACCTTGCTTTACAAAATACTCCAGACACAATAGTCTAACGCATCCGGAGATTTTGGTGGCCATTATGCGCTGGAAGTGAAGCAAGTTATCTCATTTTGTTACCATTCTTGAGTGGCGCGTGCTGATGCAGCGGACTGTCCTGGGAACAGTCCTGTTGGAATGTCCAAGGTCTACGGCCAAAATGTTTACGTGCCCAAGGCTTTAATGCACCCTCCAGAATATCGCTATAATATTCGGCATTTATTCTGATGGTCGATTAATACGAGCGGAGAGCGACCATCGGCTATTATGGCGGCCCACACCATCACCATGGCCGGCGCTTGATTTCTGGTGGCACATTTTTAGCTGACCTCTTTGGCAAGTGAACACGATCATTTTGTTTGCTTGTTTACAAACTGCTGGACAACGATTTTTTTCTCATCGGAAAAAAACCAAATTAGGCAGTTCACCACTTTCGGCCAAGCGAAGCAACTCTTTAGCTCTTTTAAGCCTATTTTCTTTCTTTTGCGGTGTAATTTCTTGCACTTTTTGGAATTTCAATGGCTCATTAATTTTTCAATATTTGCCGAATGGTAATTAGTGATATGTTCAGCTCACGAGCCATTTTTTTGCTGAGAGAATCTTTGAAATAAGTTTTCTTAATGAATTCATGAACAACACGATTGATTGATCTGAGAATCCTTCGAAAATATTAAAAAAAAAGGTAAATCTGAAAACAAAAATTAAGATAATCCTTGAAATACTTTTTCTCAAAAAAAAAATCCACGATAATTTGTTTGGAGAGTCCATGATTGGTTGACTTGATAACCTTTAGAAAATATTTTCGAAAAAAAAAAAAAAAAAAATGATTAACTGAAAACAAAAATTTAGATGTTTCTTGATAGACTTTTTCTTAAAAATCCAAAGTTGCTTTCCGAGTCCATGGAAAGAATTAGTCTTCAAAAGTAATTATTCTTAATAAGATCTTAAAAGATATTAACGCAACGCGATCGATTGCTCGGAGAGTCCTTGAAAAAATTTGCTTTGTATAGATTTAATTTAGAGCATACAAATATTCCTTAAAAACCCCCCATTGGGGTTCCTTAAAATGTTCTTGAAAAATAAACTAATGCTTGCTCTAAACGTTCTTTAAAATATTCCTAATAAAGTTCACGATTGGCCTTGATTTGTTATTCTGAGACTCCTTACAAATATTATTAAAAAATCTACGATTTGCTGCCTTGAGAGTCCTAGCAAAAACAAACTCTTCAACGCTCCACAATTATTTGTTCTGTGGGTGCACAAGTAGTTGATGTAAAAGCCCTTGAAAAAGGGAGTCCTTCGAGGACACAAAAATATTCGTAAAAAATCTTTGAATGGTTGCTCCGTGAGTCCTTAATAAAATCTCTAAATACCTCAAGTGTGATTTTTAAAAATCCACAAATGGTTGCTCTGGGGATCTTTGAACAAAATTTTCTTCAAGTCTTTAAAAAAAGAAATATTTTCAAATTTACGATTGTGGCCTTGAAAGACCCTGAAAAATATATTTAAAAATTTAACAGTATGGCGGGGAGCCTGTAATGAAAATAATTTTAACAAAGCTGCGACGATGATTCATCTAGTGCCAGAAAGATGGTATTGATATTTTTGAAAAAAAAAAAAAAAAAAAACAGTAGCCATTTCCAAAAAGGCAAAAGATTTGCTGCCCTGAGAGTCCTAGCAAAAACAAATTCTTCAACGCTCCGCAATTATTTGTTCTGTGGTTCCACAATTAGTTTATGTAAAAGTCCTTGAAAAGGGAGTCACAAAAATATTCGTAAAAAATCTTTGAATTGTTGCAATCTTGAATTGTTGAGTCCTTAATAAAATCTCTAAAGTATGATTTTTTAAAATCACAAAATGGTTGCTCTGAGAATCTTTGAACTAAATTTTCTTGAAGTCTTTAAAAAAAATTATTTTCAAATTTACGATTGTGGCCTTGAAAGACCCTGAAACATATTATTAAAAATTTAACACTATGGCGGGGAGCCTATTATGAAAATAATTTTAACAAAGCTGCGACTATGATTCATTTAGTGCCAGAAAGATGGTATTGATATTTTTGAAAAAAAAAAAAAAACAGCAGGCATTTCCAAAAAGGAAAAAAGTTTTACACAATTCTAACTTTAAAACATAAATTTTTCCAGTCAAAATTTTTATGCCTTTTATTTTACATACTCATAAAAAATATTCATTTATATAACTTTCAGGTGGTCACACAATTCCCATTTGGATCCGCAATGAATTTCGTGGAAGAAACCGTATACTAAAGAAGAAGAAGAAACATATCAGCTGGCCAAAAAAAAAAGAAGAAACAGGCGAACGATAAAACCAACGAACAAACCCTATATCCTATCCCGACAATATTTTGTTATTTTTTCCGGCCTTTTCATAATTTTTATTTTGTGAAAATCCACGAAAACCCAGAAAGAAAGTCAAACGAAGGAACAATTTTCATGCACAGAGGCACGCGCGCTCACACACACAAACATAGCTATTTGTGTTGTGTCCCATTGCTAAATGACGTATTCTGATGGTATTGACTGTACGGCGATTAAAAATGGAAGCTTGGCAATTTTATACAAATACAAATATAAACAAAATCAAATTAATGCCAGACCAACAGCAGCAACAGCAGAAGCAGCAGCAGAAAAGTCAATATCAACAAAGGATAGTGAAACAGAAGCCGAAGCAACATCCCATCCAGCATCAGCATGTGGAACACGGGGCGGCATTGTTTTTGGAGGAATATCAACAGCGACAAGAACTAAATCAGCGCCTGCAGCATCAGCAGCCACAGCAGCAGCAGCAGAGTTATCAGCAATTGAGAGAAAAAATCCCACAACGTCCACATGCCGAAAATCACATTTTTATAACAAACGTAAATCAGAATTGCTTAACTGCCTCCAGTCTTGTTGTGAACAAACAAAACCAAAAAACAATATCGGCCACGGCGGATTCAACGGACGACTGTTGCCCAGCCATACCAATACTACCAATAACAACAGCAGCAACGGCTACAGGACCAACAACAACCGCAACAACATCAGCATTGATTCCAGCTCAGTCAACAGTATGTCAGCCCAAATGCAAACAAACAACAGCCGGAGTAAAAACAACAACAGTAGCACGAGCAGTGGAATCCTTGTTGGTTATGTGCCGCCATCAGCAACAGTATCAGCATCATCGTCATCATCAGAATCAGCATCAGCATCAACAACAACAACATTCTCAATATCAAACAGAAAATCTGAATTTGAAACAGTATCCCCAGCAAAGGCCTCAAAAGCAGTCTCTTGTAGAGCATCAACAAAAACCCCATCACCAGCAACAGCATCAGCATCAAGAAAAACAACAACACCAGAAACAGCGTTACCAACATTGTCAAGACTACCACCTGCCATCGTTGTATTCGAATCGAAACAGCTCAAACAGCAGCAGCAAATCAAAAAATCTGAGAAAAAGCCTGTACAGCACCATGATGGAACAACTGCTGGTGATTGGCTCTTTATTGATCGCATTAAGCGTTCGTGTGGCCGGCGACGAATCTCAGGATTTCCAAAAGAACAGTAAGTACCGTTCTCCTTTTCACACCTAGCCATGATGCAAAACAATTACTTTTGATTTAATGGACCACAAAAAGATAACAAAAGGTGATATAGGATGTTATTTATGGGGTTATGTGAGACAGGGTTTTTTATACCCTACACCACAAGGTGGTCAGGGTATTATGTCTTTGTGCATTTGTTTGTAACAGGCAAAAGGAAACGAGATAGACCCACAGTTCCTTTTGATGATCTGCGTAGAATCACATTCTCAGTCGATTTATGTATGTCCGTCCGTCTGACCATGTATTCTTGTGAACAAAATGCAGGTCGCATTCATTATCCGATTGAGATGAAATTTTGCAAACAACATTTGTTTGGCCCAAGGACGAACCCTATTGAAATTGGAGATGATCGGTAAAAATTTAGATATAGCTCCCATATATATCTTCGTCCGATTTGCCTTTTATTGTGCACCAAACGTTTAATATCAGCCCGAATAGTATGGAATTTTGCATATACAACCAAATTAGGCCTGAAAATAAGTATGCCAAAATTGATCGAAATCGGTTCAGATATAACTATAGCTTCCATATATATTGTTCATCCGATTTGTTATTTTTGTCCTCCGCAGCCGTAATATGCACTCTGTAACAACAATATTTGGGGAAGTATATCAAATACAGCTCAGAAATACATTTGCTTAATTTTATCGAGATCGGTTCAGATTTGCATGTAGCTCCCATATATATCTTCGTCCGATTTACTTTGATTATGCACCAAACGTCTAATATTTGCCCAAATGGGATGGAATTTGGCACTTACGACCGAATTGAGTCTACAAGTAAATATGTCAAATTTTGTGAAGATCGGTTCAGATATTGCTATAGCACCCACATATATACTGTTCATCCCATTTATTATAATTGTTACCCACAGCCATAATATGCACTTCCTAACAACGATATTCAGGGAAATTCATCAAATACAGCTCAGAAATATCTTTGTCAAATTTTATCGAGATCGGTTCCGATTTGGATATAGCTCCCATTTATATCTTTATCCGATTTGAAATTAATTTTGCACCAAATGGGCAATACAAGTCCTAATTTAAAAGATATAAATGCTTCGGCATATTTAGTCCTTTGAACTTTAAATTATAATTATAATCATAGCGTGTATTAGTGAATTCTCCCATAAACACTTTTAATTGTTATGCGCAGCTCTACTAAATTAGCGAAGTGGTGTAGGGTATCATAAAGTCGGCTCCGCCCGACTTTAAAACTTTCTTTACTGGTTGTTAAACTAAATTGAGGCGTTGTAGGCAAATAAAAGAAATAAAAAACGCACGGAAGACATGAGTAACCCCTCCACCTAATAGGTCTTCCGGCGCCATTCTTAAGTCATGGAAGTCCTATAAAGATATTTCTCTACAAAGAACACTTGTAATAGATTTTATCTCCAAAGAATACATGCATGGGATGTTCTGTGCATCGAACACCTTTGGGAAATATTTTATCCTTTTCTCCCTGAAATCTCAGCTCTCCATATAAGACTCAAAATGTTAGCTTTAAGGATATCCTTAAAACGTTTTTACTGAGCCTTCTCTCCATACAGGATTTTAAAATGGTCTTCTCTCCATAAGAGACTAGTAAAAATTTAGTCCCATACAGGGTGTTTAAGATCATTTAAGACATCAGTAGGTCTATTAAGATTATTCTATCAATAGACAAGTAAAATAGTAGCTATGTTCGACCGGGCTTTTTTAATAACATCCACCGTTTGGAAAGACTTGAAAATTTTCAAAATATTACGAAAAATGTCATTACATCTATATTCGATGGTTATACGAAGACGTGGACCTGCTAAAATATTTTTTTGTCATAGACTGTAGTACGCATAAGATCTGCAAATATGAAATTTGAAGTAATTCCGGCTAATAATGTCGCTAAAATAATCAAAATACCGAATAAAGGGAGATACCGTTATATGGGGGCTATACGAAGACTTAGACATGCATACGAAATTTTTAGGCATAGGCTGTAATTCCCATTACAAACTTCGTATACGAAATTTGAAACTATTCGAGTGAATAATGTCGATAAAATCATCAAAATACCCAATATCAGGAGGTACTGTTATATGGGGGCTATATGAAAACATGCACCGACATGCCCGATTTTCGAACTTAACCTGCCTACTAGAATAATACACATATGTGCAAAATTTTAGCCTTGTACCTCAATACGTTCGAAAGATAGTTTGGTTACAACCGACAGTCGGACAGACAACGGCTATCGCTTAATCGTCTTAGTATTGCGCTGATCCAGAATATATATACTTTAGGGTCTACCATGAATATTTCGAGGAGAAATGGGATGGTGTTGGGTATAAAAAGGGTAAAGATTCTTAAATCCAAGAATACCTCCATGGGGTCTCCTCTTTGCATTGACGCTCATCAATTTAGGATATTTCCCACTGAAGGCCTTTCGTTGGTCTTTTCTTAACAAACGTCCTGTAAAGAGTGTTCTCTTTAGAAAAAGAGCTTCAACGAGTCTATAGTCCCTAGAAGAGAGTCCTTACCTTTGCTTTTCTGTCTATATGTGTTGCCTTCTTGATCCTAGTATTTTTCTTTCGTATTTATTACCACATAAGCAACAATTTCTGATTCCGAATCCAAGAATTTACCCAGCAAAACTTTTGCAATTACATAAACAAACAATGGCCAGAAAACCACAAATATGACCTCTCAAGGTATTCGGTAATTATAAAACTGACAAACTAACCACAGATTTTGGAATTACTCATGTGGTTGGATTACTAATTTCTGTTCGTTGTGAGAATTTTCTGTTGGGCCAGAAAATAAAAGTTTTGTCTTTTTTGCCCCTCCCAAAAAAAAAAAAAAAAAAACTAATCACAACAAATTCTTGTTCCAATTATCTGCAAGTCAAGAACATTTTTCAGGCAAAGTATTATTTGTCTTGGTTGGTGGAATGGGTGATGAGGGAGGTAGAGATGGGTGGTTATCTTTGCTGATTTCAAAGTAAACAATTTCGAATTAAGAAAACCCAAAAACCATCAAAGAACATGTTACTTGTAGTGCAATGGGAGGAGGTGCCATTTTGGAAGAGGTATGGAGTGGGTCATAGTTTACCTAGCCTGAACATAAAGTTAAACAATGACCAGTAATCCAAATACGAAATACGACTACGAAAAAGTCAAATACCAACACATTTAGATAACAATGGTAGTTAACTACTGTAAATTTCAAGAAGAACAGCACGACCTCAAACAGCAGCAAAGAAATTGGGGAACTTCGTTAATCGACCATAATTTACCTGGCCATCTTGGCTAGCATAGTTCATTGCTTCGCTCTTTGGTTTGTTGTTCCAACTTACAATTTTATTTACTTATAATAGAGTCTTCTACATTCTACACTAAGCCAAGTTGTGGCTGAGGTGGCGGTAGTACTGGTACGTGTTGGCTCCCAAGAAAGTTAGCATTCCTTGGCCGGACAGTAAGGAGGTTAAATTCCACCAAAATACCAGAAAAATGTAAAGCATTGATGAAGGTAAGCGTGTGAGTGTGTGTGTGAGTACACCATGGCATGGTCCCATGGCTGAGCATAAAACACCATTTATCATGCCATTCAAAAGGAGCAACAACAGAAACGGCTTAAACCAAACTTCAAGTCATAAATAAACTCAACATTTACCATACCTACACATACACCTATATATTCGTTCAGTCCGACTATGTAAGGAGTCCGACTAGCTGGCTGGCTGGCTGGCTGGCTGGCTGACTGGCTGGCTAGCTATTTGTAAAATGTGAATACGATAACAAAACGAAAATATGACATTTAGACCCAAGTGCCTCATTGGCACTTAATCATGTTGAAATATATTTTGCAAATTTCCTCAACGAAATGTGCAATACTTACCGAATCCTTGACTGCAGTACGAAAGAAGCCTTGTTTGCCAGAGCCACCAAGAAAAAGCCATAACATTATTTTACTTGGTTTCCCAGAATTTGCATATTTTATTCCAGTAACTACTGGTACTGGTATACCTCCATCGTTCCCCTGCAAATCGCCATATTTCCAGGAACGGTTGACCATCCAACCATCCTGCTCCAAATCGACTTTGTTTTTATATGTAGATTGATGCATTCATTCAGTGGCTTCGTTGCCTGCCATAGATTCATTTGAAACCACAGATTTTTGGTCAGCCAGGTCTGTTTTTCGAAGTTCCTACCGTTTTTTTTTTGGTGGATGTTGTTGTTTGCCTACTTTACGGATTTCAGCGCGAATGGAAATGATTTGTTTTTCTTCAGATTTCTTCCACAACAACTTTGTTTTCCATCGAGACACACGGATTGTGGTTAAAAAAGCAAGAGATTGAGTTGTGAATTTGTTGGTCGAATGGATGGACGTGCATTCGCAAGAAATGTTATTGGTTTGATTTATGGTTATTTAAAGAGGCTTTATCCTTGTTGTGATTCGGAATGAAATTTAAAACACAGGAACAGTAATTTAAAGTTTTTATCTTGATTTTTGGAAAATTGGAAGAATTCAAAATCACCAGAGACTTTCAAAATATCTTCTTCGTATAGAAGAACACTCAAAATCATTTGAGTTTCCAAATTTCAAATAATCTCCAGTATAACAGCTAGATATAGAAAATATACAAGGGCTTCTGTATACAGATGACCTTCAAAATATGTTCTTCCTATGAAATATCATTAATATATTTTCTTTATATAGAAGACCGTTAAATTATCTTTATCTATAGAAAACCGTCAAAAGGTTTACTCAGTGTTAAAGACAAAAATTCTTCCTATAGAAGACATTTAAAATATGTCTTCCTATTAAAGACCACCACAAGGTCTCCAGTGTAAAGAAAGTATTTTCATGTATTTTTATACAGGACTATCTTTCTGATTATGGAGACGTCCTAGAAGAGCTGTCCTGTTAATTACACCTCTAAAGGGTTTCCATTTATAGGAGAATAATGACCTTTGTCTAT